TTTTGGCATCATCACTCAATGAACTACACGACGAGGAAGATAAGGAAAACACAAGGCAACAAAAATATGTGGCTACAGACATATAAGCCTAGACTTATAAACGATCCAGAAAATAAATAGATAAACAAAACTCAAATGGCAACCTTAATTCAGCACATGAGAAGATCAATCTTTTAACAAGCCCAGAAAGTAAATAAGACTAGGAATCACAAAAAACTACTCAATTCAAGGCTTTAAAGGAAGCAAAACAAAGAACCGATAGAGAGAAGATCGGACCTTGGCCTCAGCCTCGGCGGCGTCAAGCCGGCGCTGTCGCTGAGCCTCCTCCACAGCTTGCCGCTGGCGAAGGGCTTCCTGCTTCGCCTTTCTCTCTCTTTCCAACTTCAATTTGGCTCTCTCTTTCCTATCTCTCTGCTCTTTCTCCAGCTTTTCTCTTGCTCTTCTCAGCTCGAAATCCATTTCTCAAAATCAGAAAAAACAAAAATTCTCCCTTTCTCTTTCTTCCTCGATCAACGATCGATCTCAATTTCGATCCTTCGACTGAATTATTTTTCTGATTAATTGAGCGAATGCGAGACAATTGATGATTTCTTGCGGGGAAAGGTCAAGGGTATGTGGTCTATAGACTTGTAGCAAAGAGAAAATTGAATTGCATTTTCTACCCGACCAATCGAGGCCGGGGTTCTAGAAGGATCTGGGCCTTTCCCAGTAGAAGTAGGATTCTATTGGAGCTGATTTGAAAGCCCAATACTCCTATTTAGAGCCAAAAAGGTTGGAGCCTATTTTAATGTTCAACTCATATGAAGCCCATGTCATGCAATGTAGAATTCTTGAAGCCCAACAGTAACAATGACCATGTAATTTTATTTTTTAATATACATTCAAGTTTAAAATATCATGCCTAAGTAAAACATAAATAAATATATAATATTTTTATAAAATGATTACATAATTTTGTAAAAAACTATGACTTATCAATGTGCTGACGGTTAGACCACCTCATATAGAATTTTATGTTGATATGTTGTTGTTAGATAGTCTAATATAACTAAACAATCTTAGTTTTGGAAGGAATTATATAGTATGAATATGTAAATAATGTTGACCCCCAATTTGAGAAACAGGCCCACAAGCAAAAGTGGGGGCAGTTGCGCCAACGAATCGAGTTGGATTCTCAGGTCGGTCACTCGACTTAGAAGAATCGTGACGAGAGAGGCCACGATACTGAATTCCAGGCAGGAACTTAACCCGAGCTGACAAACAAGCTGAACAGAAGACAATAAAATAAAAGTCACTTGTAGGCTAATGATAAAATAGTACATCTTTGCCAACTAACTTGTCGGTCTGCCAGTCTTAGACTCATAGGGTAGCACAATGCATTAAATATCTTTGTCCAATCAATTAAATGCGTACCGTATGACCTGATGAACAATTTTCGAGCTACAGTTACTATAAGAAAATCTAAAAAGGAAATGCAAAATTATACAACTCACAAGATAAAGATTCTCGTAATGAATATTAAGTCAAATATTCGACCGAGCAATAACAGTATTAGCAGACTTGGGCCACTATTATTCCGACACATTCTCGCATAGTTCTGCACTTCTTTTCTATTCAATTTTTCCACGACAAATGTTCACATTTATCTTACCAAGCATCCTTAAATTCATTTCAAAACACTTTTAACCCGTTGATCAAATATATTTATCACCGGTTAACATAATTAAAATTTCTATTTGTTCAGTGATATTGTTAATTTGTTAATACACCTTAGCCTAAGAAAACAAAATACTGTAATGCATTTATTGATTTTTCTAATAAAAAACTAAAATAATAATTAATTGGAGTGAAGTTTTCTTTTTGTTTTTTTAGAAAAAAAAAAAAATGGAGTGAAGTTGAGTGAAATGGAGTAAAGATATCATCTATCCAAAAAAATATAAATTTGCAGAGAAGTTATCAAACCCGCAGTGACGGTGTGAGTTTGGGAGAAATGCATCAAGCCTCGCATGACTTGATCCGCCAGGTCCAGATCTGTACCCGGTCGGCGGCGGGCCTCTCCGACTACAATCCGTCCGACCCGACCCTCCCCGTATTGCCACCTCTCTCCGCCGCAATAGCGGCCTCCGCCTCATCTCCGCCGCAGCTCCTCCGCTGCAAGAACTGTAAAGGAGGTCTCCTCCGAGGATCGGACTCAATCATCTGCGTGTACTGCGGCCTTCCCCCCAAATTCGACGTCGTCCCGGATCCCATCACCTTCACTTCCACCGTTGCGTCTCGGTGGTTGCTCCGCTCCCTCCGTCTCGATGGATCGGTGAGGTTTTATTTATCGATTTTCTGCAATTTGGAGCTGATTCATTGGATCAATGATCCCACTTTTTCTTTAAAGATTGTTTTTTTATTTATTTTGTTGCATTTTAGTGGTGATCTAGCTTGTAATTTGCTTGGGTTTGAACTTTGAAGTGTATATGTGTGCCATTAAGAGTGTGAATGTCTCTAAGGGAATGTTGTGGATATAATGTGGATATACGTGTTCTGTGTGATATCACCAGTCATGGAAGTTGAAGGATGTAAAATTAGTAACTCATTGAGTTTCACTTGAGTCTCGAGTGTAGTGTGAAATTAGGGAGGCATCTAAGAATTATCTTGATTATGAGTAGTCACCCGAAAAAGCACTAAAGTATATGGTAGCGTGATTTTATTTATTATTATTTTTTTTTAAATCCTGTTATTTTGGATGAAAATGAGCAACCTTTAAAATCGAAAGCACCTTGCAGGAAATGGTGGATCCGAATCACAAAAGTGAGCAAAACCAAGGCTACAACTCTCCCAAATCTCTAATCCCCTTGTCCGAATTCTTAAATTTTAAGATATCATGGCCAGCCGAGACAGAGAAGCAGCAAGAAACTGTTTTTCAGGAGAAGAATTCAGAACAAAGTGAAGGATCCTCGAGGTTAACTGGCGTGCCTCCAGATAAGTTCTTTCTGAATTCAAAGAGAAATATCGTCTCTGATGTGTCTGCTGAGCAGCCATTTGCACATAACCATATTGGAACTTCTGATGATGGGAAAAACGTTGCGGCTTTTGGCCATCGAAACTTATTTCAAGATGTTAAGTCATCTGAAGCTTTTTCTGGGTGGGAGGCAGATTTCCAATCTGCCGATTCTGAAAAACAACCTGAAGTTCGGGACGTCTCGGTTGACTCCAAAAATAATGTCAAAGATCCTAAATCCTTTGACTTGTCAACAGGTTTAGGGGTTAATCTTGCTTCTCACATTGACTCTGTTTTCGGGCCTAAAGATCCGAACGATGGAAAACGTGAAGAAAATCGGGCAGTTTCTCCAGCTTTTGATGACTGGAATTCGGATGATGTGTGGAATAATCTTAGCTCTAGTACATCTCACTTTTCTGGTGGTGTTGATCCGCCTGTAAAAATTACAAACGAGCTCGAGATTGATCACAGCTTTGATTTATTTCAAGATTTCCAATCACAAACCAACAATGCGGATAAGACTGAGGATAATAAGATTACGAGTGATGAACATAAGATAATGGATGAGAATCTGTTTGGCGAGTGGAATGATTTTACGGGCGGAGTTGATTATCAGGCTTCCACAGCTGGCCCGAAGTCTTCAGAGATGGACATATTTAGCTTCGATGATAGGTCTGCAAAGTCCAATTTTGGTAGCTTTTCTCAACCGAATCTCTTTTCTACCTCAACCAGCAATAACAATACCCTTACTGAAGTCAAAGCTCTTACATCAGAGACTCCTACATCGGACTGGTGCGTACTTATACTTCTCAATGCATATTCTTCACCACCTTTAGAAGCTTTTAAACATGAACATTTTTCTCCTTACCAATCTTCCATCGAATTACTAGCTTTCTATCTACTTGCATGATCCTTAGTTGAGCTAATGTTCATTTCTTTGTCGTGTATGAGGAAATTATTGTCTTCACCCTTTTTTTATTCCATCATTGAAGTCGTGACTCGTGTGATCTGCTCTTAGATGTTACCAATGAATACATCTTCTCTGTCCGTTGATTTCTTAGTTTCACTATAAGGCTTTCTTCATGAGTGTAAATTTGTCCATAGAGTTTTGTTGCCTCCTAATTTAAATAATTTACGAAATATAAAAATAGTAAGTGATATGAAATAGAAGAAAATAGTAATACGAAATAGCATAAAAATAGTAAGAAATGAATAGTCATCGGTATTTGAATAATTTTTTATTCATTTAAGTAATATTTTATTAGTTAATTACTAGTTGAGCCAAACCCTCACTTGACTCTGAAGAGGTCATCACCTTAGTAAAATGAACAACAACCTAGGCATGGTTTTGAGAGTGTGATTGCATTTCCTTCGATACATTAGCGAATTTTGAATGTGTTTGGAATATTATAGAACTTTAAAGATTAAAGATGAAAACTAAAAGTTGTGCCTGAAACGATGTATTTATTTAATGTAAAATTATCAACAGCAGACAAGGATATACTTTAAAACTTGGGACGGAGAATATAAAGAAGAAAGGAAAAGAAAAATGAACAAGAAACAAAACAATTTTAGGTGTACTGCAAAGTTTATACTCTTTGAATGTGAGTTTTGTCCAACTTCCTGACATATTACGGCATTTGTAGGTTATTCGATTCTAGCAGCCCTTCTCATGAATCTGGACAAGTAACAAACGGAAAATCTGCTGAGGATGATGTGAAGATGCTGATTTCCCAAATGCATGATCTGTCTTTTATGCTAGATTCTAATCTCTCTATCCCTTCAGGTCCAGATGCTGCTCCTAATTCCTGATAATCAAATTGAGATGCTGTAATTCTNTTTCTACTGTTGTGCTTTATCATGTAAGTTTTTCAGTTGTGGCACATTTTATTTTCTCTTCTCGTGCCCCATTGAGCAGGTTCCCTCTATTTTGTTATTTGTGGTAAAATGAGCTGTAGGGATGGTTCGATCCTATTGGTGTGGGTACTCTGAACCGTCGGATCACTCACACGCACACACACACAAAAGCACGGTTATGTGTTGATCTGACCGTTAGTTTAGTGTGGGCAGTGCCCATACCATATGATGATATAATCACTGTACTATCTTATTATATAATATATTGTTCTATCACATTATAATAATAAAAGAACTTTGCACCAACAATTTTGAATTATTGTGATTTGTGAACATAGAAAGACTAATAATTACAAAACTAATCCAAAAACTGAATAATTGCAATTTCATTTTCCTACACTAAAAACTGAAAAAGTAAACCATGAAAATATTAACAATTTAAAGGTTTATAAAACAACGTTGAGGTTTTGACTCGGTCAATAGGCATCTATCTACCTTATTAATGATAACGGGCTGCTCATGACAATCTTTAGAAAATATATTTTTATGGACAATGCTTTAGAAGTTAAAACTTTAAATTAAGTCAACATCCCAACCACGGTTTAATGGTTGGACGATTTAGCTTTATTTAATGCATTTGGTTTACATGTCCCACAAAAATAAAACTAACAAAACCATAATCAGGGGCGTAGCCAGAAATTTTTTTTACCCGGGGCTGCTTAACATTGAGCTATTATTCGAATCAAACTATTCACGAACACAACTCATTTCGGCTCGTGAATGCTCGAACTCAACTATTTCATACACTTCAAAAGGCTAAGCTCGAAAACCTAATCAAGTTTGTTTATTAAATAATCACAAGCTCGAACATGAGATATCCGACTTGGCTCGACTCGAATAACATCTTAGCTAGATGCCAAGCATAAAGAAATCAATGTATGAAAATAATTCTTTTTAATATTCAATACAACTTACATGAATTACAAAGTTAAATGAATGAAAGTATATTTTAAAAATCCAATAAATGTCAAAACTAAATTATTAAAATCCACAAGTTCAATCACAAAATAAATATTCTATTGGAATTCCAGAAGAAAAAAAATATACAAAATCAAAATATAGAGTAATTGATATATTCCATATGTAATGTAATATAAATTACATAAATAACCAATATTATTTTAAATAAAATGATTCAATATGATTTAACCAAAATAAGAAAGAAAACAATGGGAAAAAAAACAACACGTTAAACTATAAAAAAAAGTATATAGAGACTTATATCATGTCCAAATATTCAATTCTTAGCCTATACAAATTTAAATTATATTATCTCAAATATTTAGTTGTGCTTTCATCAAACAAGTTTTGTGCATAAATTCAAACTAAGTATATTTCTAATTTTTTCTCACAAATCAATTCATATTAACTCTTGATCATTACAAAACATAAGAAATATCTTCATTCCACTATTAAAGCAAACATTAATACAATCTTCTTACAAATTTGTAAAATAAAATTAGAATAAGCAATAATTTGTGTCTTTCTTTTTTAATAAAAAAAGGTTCCAACATCTTCTACATTTGAAAATGAAAAAATAATAAATTATTGAGTTTCTTCCTAAAAACATATGAGCTAAATTGAGCTAGACTAATATTTACATTGAGCTACAAATAAAATAAGAAATGCTAAAGTTGTGCTTTGTTTTCTTGATTGTGAGATTTTTTTTTTTTTTTGGCCTTTTTAACTTTTAATTAATAATGAAGAAGACTAATTAATGGATGAATTGGGACTTGGGATAGAAGGAAGGTAATGGATTTTAATATTTTGGACTTTTATTGTTGGACTAACTTAAAAATTTTTTGGGCTTATGTTATTGGGCAAATTCAAAAAATGGGGTTAACATATATATACATGGGGCTATATACAAGAATACTCTAAAATGTAAAGTCATTTTTTTTTTAATTTACCTAGGGTTAGAGCCCACCCTAGCCCATGGATGGCTCCGCCCCTGACCATAATTAATTTAGAATAGATTGTTAGTCTATATTTAGAGCTATTAAATGAAAGGAGTGAGTTCGGCTCAACTCTTTTGATATATTAGTTGAGCTTAAATTCGTCTAAAAGCCGATTTGTTAACGAGTCGGGCTGGACTCGGCTTGCTAAGGTTTAAAATAAAAAAATTTTATATAACTTTTTATAGTTCGATTCTTAAAGGATAAATTCAATTTGTTAAGACTCGAGCTCTACTCGTTAGCCTAGCTCGAACTCAATTACTGTCTCGTTTATTTAACAAGCCGAACGCTCAGTTTGACTCATTTGCATCCTTAGCTATACTAAATCTAATATAACTCTCAAAATGCTGTAATAACTTATTAATTTAGATTCAACAACAATTGCTCAATTAAATGCATCAACTACTACAAACTTTTTGCATTAATATGACAAGATCCACGAACAAGTCAATGAGTAATCCATGCAAGATTTTTTATTAACCCCAGTTCACTATCACTGTGTGATCTCTCTCTATCTCTCTCTGAGTGTGTGTCGGTAGGGTTAAGGGAACCAAAGACTGGGATGATTTCTCGCCCAACAGTTGTGCAGTGCAGTCATTACGTTTTGCACAGTTGGATAATTTTATATTTGTTAATTTAAATTTAATGGTGAAAAAATTCGAAAAATTGTACTGCAGTTGTGTGTAGGGTCGAATTAATCTTCCCCCAACTCAGATCACTCCATATTTTCATTTTGACTTTAGAAGTCCAAGTTGTGTCATTTAATGCTCCGGCTAACTCCCCATCCGCTCAAACGCGTTACATTATAACCATGCAACTTAATTGCTTAAGTAGACAAAATTAAAATTAAAAAATCTCAAAACTATCCATTATTGGCCAGTTGCTGAAGCCTATATAATGACTGTCTTGGCCAACGAGGATATATCATCACTAACCAATTAAAGAGTAAAAACTTGTAACTTGTGATAGAGCCAAAATGGGGTTTCTCTCCTCTCATAAATGGCTTTGTGCATTGTTCCTTCTTTTTGTTGTTGTCCTGAATTTGAGTGCGAGCATTGCCGGAGACGAACAAGTCGACCGTAAGGCCGGCTGGAGGGGTGACGATAGTTGCCGGTTCAGCCGGCGTGGCTGCTATGGCCGTGGGCCCCGCGGAGGGTGGGGTGGAGGTAGAGGAGGCGGTTTCGGTGGAGGTGCCGGAGGCGGTGGTGGTTTAGGTGGAGGAGCTGGCGGCGGTGGAGGGTTTGGTGGCGGCGGCGGTGGTGGAGTCGGAGGTGGCTCC